ATGCGTCCTAGACGTACGTGCAAATCTGATAAGTCCTGGACGTACGTCTAGGACGCATCGTGTAAATAGGCCTTCAGATGCCGTGGAGGTAACGGGGACACTAATACGGGGAGGAGTCGTAGAGGGCATAGAGGTCATTGAGGGCATAGAGGTCATTCACACAATAGAAGCAAAAGAGGTCATTGAGTTGTTAAAAGAGGAGGTCATGGATGTCACACGGACAATAGAAATGATAAAGGTCATAAGTCATGGAGGCAATAGAAGCAATAGAGGACATTGAGATAATAGAGGTCATGGCGGTCGTATAGGTCACGAGCACAATAAAAAAAACCGCGGTCATGGAGGTAATGGAGACAACAGAAGTAATAGAGGCAACAATAGTATAGAAACAAAATATTGAAGGGTCAATGAGACCACGGAGAATTTTTCCCACTTCCGACAAAACATATAATGCAGCCTTAATCCTCGATTGACAGTAAATCTGATACGGGTCTTCACAATACATGACGTCATTATCACGAGTATTATCATTATCATTATTGTCATCGTCATCGTTGCCGTCATCATCATCATCATCATTAGGATTATCATTATCAAAACATAATTCTTCATCTTCATAAGATTCGTAAACACAACGTCCTCTTAATTAAACCAACGACGTCAGCAACAGTCAATACGTAACCGACTTCGGCGTCAGTCAATAATGTGTTTTTTCCCGCGCGTGTGTTTTTTGTTGTATCGGCGCAGCGTGCAACATGATCGACGTCGACTTCATACAGTGGCAGGACATCGGCAGCATCATCGCCGTCGCCATCGCCAGTCTGGGCATGTTGATGAGCCTGTTCACCCTCGTAGTCTTCATAAAGGTCAGCCTTGTATTGCATAATAATTATAATATAATAAATAATAAATATAATATGAGTATAATAATAATAATTATAATAACTATAGTAATATAGTCGTCAATATACAATATACTCATATATACAATATACAATATACAATATACAATATAATAATAGTATCTTCATAAAGGTCACACTTGTATCGTAGAATACAATAATAATAATATAATAAATAATAAATATAATATAAATATAATAATAATATAATATATATATAATAATATAGTCATTAATATACTCATATAATATTATACAATAATTATACAATATAATAATAATAATATCTTCAAGGTCAGACTTGTATCGTGGAATACAATAATTATAATATAATAAATAATAAATATAATATAAATATAATAATAATATAATAAATATAATAATATAGTCATCAATATACTCATATAATATTATACAATAATTATACAATATAATAATAATATCTTCAAGGTCAGACTTGTATCGTAGAATACAATAAAAATAGAATAAATAATAAATATAATATAAATATAATAATAATGTAATAAATATAATAATATAGAAGCTTTAAGGTGCGCTTGTTAGTGTTGTGTCACCGACCTTGGTAACCAGAAAACAAGGTCGTTC